GAAAAACCTTGGATCACAGCGTGATGGTAATCGCTGAGTAGGTGATAAATCCAACAGAAAGAAAAGTGGGAACATGGAATGGAGACCATAGAGAATAGTGTAAGCTGCTGCAATCGTGTACTAGTAACACACACTTAAAAATAGAAAAATGTTTTTCTCCCCTTGTTGGTGAGTCAGGGTCTAAAAAGGAAACTGTTATAAAAAATACAAATATTATTATTTTTGTGCCAGTGTTGAGCTGTTGTGTTTGATTTGATCACATTTTTCAACTCTCATAAATGAACAACATTAAAGTCAGAGAAAACAGTACAATCTTTAACCAAATCAAACCTGGAAAAGTTTATGAAACAGTTTTTCATTCTGCATTCCAACCAACTTAAATTCAGTTCTTAGTGGAGGCTAAGATGGTCGTGAGCAGGTGGGAAACACATTCCCCCAAATTCTTAACATTGCTTGAAGATTTGTTTAATTTTATAAACAAAGATTTTTATTTTTTCAATGTCTCCTTGAGTTTTTTGATGCTCCCTCTTATTTATTTATTTTTACAAAGAAAGATGTCAAAAATAATTAAACTAAGAATTTCCACCTCGTCACATCAGTATTTTTTAATGAATTCTATTTTATTGCCTTTAACAGTTAGACCACCCAGAAGAATATGGTAGCTGGACTCACACACACACACACTCACACACACAAGGTGAAGTATAGGTTGGTTATAAGCTGTCCTGCAGACCATGAAGAGATAAGACCACTTCACTGGTTTCCATCGTTTGCTCAGTTTTTATCTAAAATGTTTTTTTTTTCTCTTCTCTCGTTCCCTCTGTTTTCTGTCCCTTATTTATTGACTCTCTTCTCCTTTAAGGTTACACAAGCAGAGCGGCCTTGGAATTATCTCGACCTCTGCCCACTGTGGCGCCCGCTAATAACCATTACACAGCGTTGAAAGGAAAAGTCGAGTTTGTTTCTTGAGAATAGATGGAGAAAGTAAAACAAAAAAAGACATAAATACTGTGTTTTTGAGTACTATTACTTTGTATGTGCTACTATAAATAATATAAAAATTATAATATTGATCCGTTTCAAAGTATTTCTCATTAAATATACTTGATATTGACTTTATGGTTCGCCTTTGACAAATGAAGCCGATCAGAATGCGATAAAGTGGCATTACCGTAACATTGGAGTCATTAAAATGTGCAGCTGTCTCTCCAATAACCTCCGGTCAATATTCGCTGTTGATCAGATTTTCATTGAGGCCGACTTTCACTCAGCTGCCTTTAATTTGCCAGTGTATTAATGTCCCCTTCGGGTCAATTATTGATAATACGCTGGAATGAGTGAAACAAATTCTAACCTCATTATGCAAGAATTTAATTCCGCGACATTTGCTTAAAGCTGCGGCCGATCCATTTCTGGTCCCATTCGACGGCCAGTTTCTGAACACTGGGTGAGAAAACACGGCAGAGCTGACGACCTCTCTCACTGAGAACCAACCTCAGAGAAAGGACTGACACTCAGCGCCGCTGTGAGATTGAAATATGTGGCCATAAACTTCCTAAAGTGACAGTAAAGCATTTATTTAATATCCCTCCATATATTTACTGCCCTTGCAGGTAGACTGGCTGTTCAAATTAGCCAGTTCCCTTCAGCCTCAGACCTAGCTGGCCAGCATCTGTATTCATCAGTGCCATAAGGCCAGACCAATTCTAATATTATTTTATGGTGATGACATTTTTTCATCCAGCCAGTCTCCAATAACTTTCAACTTAGATTTTATGGCTTTGCTCTTCATCCCATTTTTTTTTCTTCTCTACGTCTTTTGTGTTCTGTTCACCCCCTACATGCACACCCCCCCCACTTCTTCTGCTCACGTAATCACACTCAACTTATAGTGTAGTGTAGGTTTTCTCTTCAAACCCATGCTTCTTCTTATTTCTTTTTTCTTTTTCTTTTTTTAAATCTCCTCTGTTCTCTGCTGTCACATTTCCTGTCTTTCATTTATGACCAGCTCCAGCAGGCTGGGTAATGAAGGCAGTGTTATAAAGTATGGGAGGTGCCTGGGGGCAGACTCGGGGGCCTCTATATTGGCAGATAGAAAAATTGAAATAGAATGAGGATGAAGATGAAGGGCGACAGATAAGAGGATCAAATTGCCGTGGAACATGGAGAAGATTCCAGATTAAAAATATGTAGACTAACATCAGGGACAGAGAGGGAGTCAGTGCAGGAAGAAGACGGATTTCTCAGCTTCCTTGGAAAATCCAGTTCAGTCGTACAAGTAAAGACACGAACAGAACAGGATGTGTCAAAGAAACAAGAATTAAACAATTATTATTGTGACACTGTGAATTTGGTGTCCATCCCATAAACACCAGGTAAATACAGGGCCAGTACTGACTGAAACTCATACTGACTTTACAGATACTGCAAAAAAAGGTAGCTGCAACAAATGACCAAAGTCAAAAACATTTTTGTCCTTACATTTTGGGGTAATTTTTACTATTTAACTATTAAGTTCTATTTAATTAATATATATTTGAATAAATAATTCTAATATATTTAATGTCCATCCATATATATATCGCTTTGAGAAATCATAGATTGTAACTTTTAAAGTTAAAAGACAAATATCTTTTAAACAACTCTTGACTTATTTTTTTTCCTAATGTAAAACAAGTCAGTAAATGTTGATGGTAATAAAAACAAATCTGATCTCTGCTGGAAAAAAACAGAGAAAAGGAAAGAGAAAATTGAAGATTTGCAAAAACAAACTAAGAGAAAAAAAACAATAAAAAGATCTGATAGATGGTGAAACCAACACAAAACTAAGGACGTTAAGTTTTCTCAGCGATAGACAAGCTCAGCGTTTCTAAACCTAAGTGGTGAGGATTACAGAAAATAACTTGGAAAAGTTGACAAATTTCATTCCCATGTCGGTGCAGCTTTTCTCTTTGGGAGCTTTGCTTAATCAGCTGTGGGTCGAGGTGACAGCAGTTTCTGAGGTAACAGTATTAAATGTGTCGTCCTGTGAATCTCTGTATATTCTGGTTTAGGAGACAGAGCAGAAACTCAGTCGTTGTGTTGTTGAAGTCTGGCTTCCACAGAAACAATAATATTCTAAGACTACTGTATGTTATTAGCCAAGAGCAAAAACTTCAAATGTCAGACAGCCGTGGAAACAGGAAATATAACTGTGCTGGAGTAACCTTTACTGTCGTTGTTACTTCTACTGTAGCCGTAAACTGAGTGTTTATGACGTGGAGTGATTCTGAAGTGGATATGAATGTATTTGTAAAAACAACATCTGGTTTAACCTTTGACCCTTTAAACCCCGGTAAAAAGCTGCTATGCTACGAGAAATGCTAACGCTTCTCAGTTCAAACAAATTAATTCATAAATGATCCTAGTTGAGAGGTCGTGTCGTAGAAACTCTTTGATGATTGTCTTTTGATTGGCAGGTGTATGTTTCACGTTTGCCTCTTGGCCCCTTCTCCTCCCTAATCTTTGCACCTATTAACCCACAACGTTAGGTCAATAACAACCAGGCTAAACACGTCCGACACCTCAATGTTCTGCGCAGTCTAATAGAAGTTGGAGCGACATTATGGGCGGGGGGGCAGGAGGTTGAGCAGAGTGAGTGTGACTGGTGGCTGGACTGATCCAGAGGGAAATTGCCGGGGCCATGCCTAAGGGCATGTTGATAGGATTTGTTATTAGCTCCCACTGAGAACCCGGGAACCTTTGACCTGTAATTTATGGAATGGTAATTGCAGGAGGGAAACCCATGGCTTTGGTGTTTAAATGACTTAAATGTCATCACCGCGGTGACCTTTACATCTCGTGTTATTGGCTCAATATCAATGACGTATTCTTCGGTCTAACTTAATAACACTCACCCTGACAGATAATGAGTCTCCTGTCGCTCCCATCTCACAGCTCACTGTCACCGGTCCTGTAAACCATAAACCAACACATCAGGTGTTTGTTCCAGACGTTTGTGTATCGGTGAATTAACTGCCACCAAGGTTCTGCATCAAATCGAGGAGGTGTAACACGTCCGTTACCTGTAACGTCTCTCGGCTTTAGCCGCACTTCCATTTGAAAGTGGGGGAAACATACACGGCACTTAGAGTTTCATAAAACCAGTGTGACCACAGAACAACACACAGAGAGAGAGAGAGAGAGAGAGAACTCCAGACACCGCAGGAGGAACCTTGGTTTCAGCTCCCTGCAGACTTTGTTTACAGCCTTTTGACTAAAGCACAACATTCAAGGCAAAAATGTGCTCACTGGGAGTAAACTGTAAAGTTATTAAAACGATGCTTCTTATTGTTACACAGCCAAATGTTGGAATTAACCCTTTAGTCTCAGTGTGCTGTTTCTTTAACTGCTGTGTTTGAAGGAATTTATATATAAAAAAAATACACATCTCAGAAGATGAGGAATTTGGTTGAGATGTTAGTACTTCCTGTGTTGGAATATATGTTTTGACATTATACATCAACATCCATCCATCATCTACAGCTCACAGGGTCCTGCATGTGGGGGGGGGGGATTGGGTGAGGGAGGAGGGGGGAGTGAGGAGGTGCAAATCCCAGCCGTCTTATTACAGAAAGACTTCACATTTGTTTTGCCAGTTCAGGTCACACACAGAAACAAAGAGGGCAATAACAAATACCCCAGTGGTTTTAATAATGAGAGAAACATTAGAATTGAGTTCGACGTCGGATTTGAATTAACAGAGAGACTGACATTTCCTGTCTTTTATAGCAGCTATTTTTCTTCCTGACATTTTACTTTGCTCGGCGTTAACCCGCTCCCCTGAGACTTCCATCGATTCACGGCCATTACATTTGTTTACTTGTTAATACACGTCTCTGCTCTGTGTTCTACAACAGACACTGAACATACAGCAGCTATTGTTGCTCAGACAATCATATCCACACACACACACACAGAGAGTCGTGAGCGTATCACACCCTGCCTTATTCTCCTCCACTACACGTTTGCACTCAATTGGACCTGTCATCTCCTCTTTGGTCTCCTAATGGCCGTCGACTCCTTGAGAGCTATTAGAGTACAGGACATGTTATTGGAAATCAAAGAGGATTTGGAGTCCATTGCGTCCTCCTGCAGGGAAAAGCACCCAGCAGAGGTCAACTTGTTAAAAAAACACACACACACACACACACACACTCGCTCAGCCGTGACCACCAGGTTAGATTACCTCTGAGGAGCCGGCGTCTCTGTCTCCATCACTGCTATTGGACTGGCTGAGTTGGTGGGAAAATGTTTTTTTTTTTTCTACAACTACTTGTATTGTTATTATTCACGTGGTACAATCTGACTGTATGGAAACACTTTGATATACAGTGTCAGGGCAAAAAAAAAAATTAAAATAAAATAAATCAGTCATTTCTGAGTGATCTGAAATGCAGTACACTCCTCTACTGCAGTCCCATCTGGCAGTTAGTGATCCAGTACACTCCTGTACTGCAGTCCCATCTGGCAGTTAGTGACACAGATGAAGGAAGACACTTGTCTCCTCTTCTTAATGTGCAGTTTTTTTTTTCTAACCTGACACTGTTTCCTACTGACGAACAGCGTTCTCATGCAGTACTGACACGTATGGACACAGACATGGACAAAGTCACATGTAGTTCTCTTTGAAAAAGAAAAAACCCAAAATGGAATTAAGAGTTAAATGTATTACACAGTGAGAAAATGGAAATAAGAGTCAAATCTACTACACAGTGAGATGTTAGAGGGTGGTTGAATATGAAGTGAATTTAACTGGAGATAAATGAAGATAAAAACAAACATTTAAAGTGAGAGTTCTGTCCATTACTGTACTACAGGGAGGAGAGAAAACAACAAATACGAAACTCAAGAAAATGTGTTTTCCTTTGGAGAGACGAGCTCTTTGACAACTAATCTTTGTCAAACTCAACTTTGACTCGACTGCTTTTTAATATTTTTAACTTTTAAACGTTGTCCCGATTGTTTTAATCAACTTTTTTTTTAACACGACAATAGGATTTAATCTAATGAGATTAGAACCGGCCTCTTGTTTTCTGTTGTGACTCTTTAAACACCAGGTTGTAAACTCTTGTGAATGTTAGGGGTTTTTCCTAAAGGACAAACAGAAAATGTGTTTCATGAATTTCGCCTCATGCTCTTTGAAGGATGAAGGCTTCACTTTAATAAGGAACTGCAGAAAAATGTCTGCGTGTCAGCACCAATGTTTGGCGTCTAAGCAGAAAACGACACCAGACTCCCAGTGCAGCTTAAAATTTGGAAGCTAAGACGTACATTAAAAGCAGTGGCAAACAGAAAGAGTGCCTCGCAGTTGATCTGAGCTGTGTACAAAGGCAGGACTTTAGGGAAATCAGAAGCTTCATTAAACTTTCATATTGTGTTTCCGTGCACTTGCACTTTCATCTGAGGTCTGTATTTAGTTAAGGACCCAAAGTGAGTAAAGTTGGCCTCACCTTGGGAGTGTGGATTAGAAGAACTGGAGAAGTGAAACAACAGTGTTGTGTGATATTTTTTACCAAGTTGTTGGTGAAGTTGAAAAAAAAAACAAAACAGGATCATTTGTATGAGGCCAATAAAGAAAGAGAAACAGTGAGGAGACAGACGTTACTGCGAGACCGTAATTCTGTCCTGAATGAATTTCACAGCATTTGAATAAAGGCTGCACTGAAATGTAACGTTTGCTGAACTCAGCAGAAAAGAAACGGTTTATAAAACATTTTAAATGTAGCACACATGCACACAAACATAAACACGGTTGTTTCCCTACTTTTCCTCCATTTAAGTCCAGTTTAAGTGAAGTTCAGTTATAAAAGAGTTATTGTAGAGTGAAGTAACTCAGTTTACAGGGATTATATTTAATTACAGCTCCACAAACTGTAGTTAATAAATGAAATTATTTTCAATTACTGACCCAGACGTTTGTCACTGTGACCCACTTGACCTTGATGGTGGCTCGGTTTTTATGTTCCTCTAAAAGATGCTATTTTCTTTCAGTGTTTCCATTAAAGTTTCTGTCAATTACTTTCTTGGGGTTTAAGATCTTTCTGGATCTTTAGTAGTAAAAGGTCATGTTGGTCATTCAGGGGTCAAGCGATGTTCTTTAACTGTTCTTTCTGCAGCTTGATAGAACTCAGTCAACACCACGACACCAACAGATCAAATATAAATCATGATAAACCAGGCTGTGACTGTGAGGACCTGGGCTGCAGTCTGACCTGGACATGATACCAGTGAGAACCGAGGATCAATCAGCAAATGTTTGTGTATCTTTGTGCCAGTCTGGAGGTGAAATTCAACGCCAATGAATAGCAATTATTTGTTGTGTCCTTAGTTAACAAACCGACTGCTTCTGTGGGACAGTTCTGACCACAAACACGAAGGAACAAAGTCAATGTTTGGTATTCTCTATTTTTCAGGGTTCGTCTACATTTGCTACATTAACCCTTAATAAAGAAGATTCATTATCACAAAGAGAAATAGTTTCTGCCTGTAACAAAAAATAAATAAAAAAAATGTGTCATGTTACTGATTTCAGTTGTCCCTTTTTCCTCTCCTGTTCTGCAGATCTTGACACACCAGTCCTGACTGTACACCAGACCATCAGTGATGTGCGTGGCAGTTATTACCAGGAGAAGACAGTGTTTCTGCGCTGCACGGTCAACTCTAACCCTCCTGCAAGATTTATCTGGAAACGTGGGAGCATGCTTATCGAACAGAGCAAGGACAACGGAGTGGACATCTACGAGCCGCTTTACACCCAGGTACACCACGCTCTGCACGCCGCGGAATCGTGTAAACATGTTTGGAATTCTGTTTGGCAAAGTACCTCCCACGGAATTGAATATTCAGAGAGTTTGTCCAACAGTTGTCCTCTAGCTTGGACATTATATGGTACAGAGCAGCAAGTCAATCAAATTATCGAGATTCCGATGCGTTCTTTTCCTCCTTAAATCTCTGATTTAGAGGTTTGCCTCCATCCTGTCCTCACTCTTCATGAACCAAGATATAAAATCCAACAAGTGAAGGAATAAAAACTTTCTGTCTACTTCAAAGTAGGACCCATCTGTGCATTAGCGAATCAGCTGCAACACAATGTCTCCGTTAACAATGGTCTGTTAATGGAAAGACTTCAGCTGCTCCGTCTCCATGTTGAATTAAACTGCAGTTCCGATGCTGTTCATTTGTTATACTGGACTAAACCGTTACGTGCTGTTCGTAAGAATTGATAACGAAACACAAAACTGGGAATAAAGCAGTTAAACATCGGTGAGAATGGTGGACATAAAATGCTCACAAACATAAAAAATCTGCCTTTTTTTTTTTTTTTTAGTTTCCTTCCATCGTATTGTTGTTGATTCATTTTGCGCCTGTCAACATGGATGTGTTAGCTCTCAGTCAAATTGAAACTGGCTTCCCTTTCCCGTCATTTGGTTTGTTACTTGTTCTGTTAGCCGACCAAATAACTGAATAAACAGCCTCCCCGCCTGAGTGCACAATGGCTGCCTTCACTGCAGCCTCCCTCTCCCTCCCTTTTTAACCACTTATCAAAGTGTCAGTCAGCCACAAGGCAGATCCCCTGGAGTTCAATTAGCCAGCCTGTGGAGCTGCTTCCTGGGCTGACACAGACACTGTTTGCCAATCACCTACCCAAGCAGACCATCAGTGATGTCAGACACCAAAGTCTTGATCTAGAAATTTCTCACTGATGTCGTTGGGCTTCGTACGTTTGCAGGAGGAAAACAAACAAATTTGCCGTGACGGAAAAAAAGAGGCGTCCGTGGATAAACAGAGAATACGGGCTTCACTGGGCGCTAACGGTGAAATCAGATTCATTTCCTTGGTAATTGTATGCAAAATACATTTGCAATTAACATTGAATTTACATATGTAGATATTAGACACCGCTGCCGGTTTTCAGAGCAGAAAAAGACGCAGCCGCTCTAACTCTTCATATTTCATTACATTTAAAACCATCTTTTTAAGGATGATCCAGATACTTTTTCTTCTTTTTCTTTCCAGAATGATGACAAAAGTTGATCTGCTCTGAGTCACACAGTGACATAGTTGGGCTGTGTTTGTTTTCATCCAGGGTGAGACCAAGGTGTTGAAGCTGAAAAATCTCCGACCCAAGGATCTGGCCGATTACACCTGCCAGGTGTCTGTCCGCAACGTGTGTAACATCGAGGACAAGTCCGTCACTTTCAGGCTCACAAATGCAACCGGTACGTTTTTTTTTTTTTTTTCATCTTCACACACATGCCCTCCTGTTAGACACATATTTGTTCCTGTCTTGTTTTGCCTTCTGGCTCTTTCTCTTTGTTCTTCTTTTTTTTTTCAATTCACAGAATCACTTTGAGAATACAATATTTTCTGAGGAGACGCTGCCTTTCATTTTTTTTTTTTTTGTATTTTGTTTTTTTTTTTTTTTGTATTCTGTTTTTCTTTCTGGCTACATTTAAATTGATCTTCCTTCGCCCCCTTTGAACCCATAATCAAATTTCTTGAACATTTTCCTTGGAAGTCTCGCAGCTGTCTTTTTTAGCGTCTGTTTTTCCGTCCTATTTGCTGCGAGCTCACGTCACAGCCACTGGCTGTAATTCACTTGTCACACTGCTTGTTATCTCCAATTCTCTCCACGCCTCCCTGTCCATCTCCAGGCCACCGCTCAGTAACTCTGATCCTTATACGACAACAGTGTCGGCGTTGACAAGCCCATCAAGTTTGTCACGGTCAGGCTGACGCACCATAAAGGAAAACCCCAAGAGGGTGGAGATTTTATTGCTCATTTTTATTGCGTTTGTTTTGTCCTTCTCACAGCAGCAGTGTCGAAGTACACGGTCAGTACTTCATAGTGTTTTTGTTATTCTTTACGCTTTTCTTTGTTCAAATTTGAATGGGTTTTTTTTGCAGTATTTCGTCTGTCTTTTTTGAAGAGTTCTTGAACAGAAAAGTGCTGTCATTAAAGGAATGGGAGTTGGTTGGAAAAGCAGTTTAGAAAATGAGGCTCATAAAAAAACGGTATTTTATATTTAACCCTATTGACCTGGATTATATCAAATCTTCCCACAATACCCTGCAAAGTTTACATTTCTTTTTCACTTCTCACTGTGATACTAATAAACCAACACTACAAATAAATGGAGAGTACTATCGGGGTGGTAGTTTGATTCCCTGGTTACTGACATGAGTGGGAATGTTTCTCACCAGTGCCCTGGAGAGTTTCTGAAAAAAAAAAATCTCCTTAAACCAGGGCACTAAAGTTGGCCTTTAAAAATCAATTTGATGTCCAATTGATGTGGTGAAGTTCAGTGAACACGTTTGAGGAGATGTGATACAGAAAAGGGCACTTACGTGGCTATAAGAGAAAACCAACACAGGACGCCAAAGGTTAGGAAGACTGTCCACACTACTGTACCTTATCAGCACTCTTCATTAAATGAATGTTGGATTATGTCGTATTATTGGCTGAAATAATTCAAATAACTGCCATAACAGAGATGGTGTTTTCTTGACTGGACTGGAATCAACTTTTCAGCTGCTTCGAACTTGTTCTAAAAGAACTTTAAAAGAAATTCTGCTTTAACTAATTCTTTTCACTTTTTTATTTATCCTGCAGCAGCTTCTTATAATGGAAAAATACCAACACAAAGAACTGCACAAACAAAACTAAAATAATTATTTTTAAATAAAAACATGTTTTCCATGCGACGTATTCTATCTCAATCACGGTGATAAACACGTTCTTTTGTGACTTCATAGGTAAAATATAAATTTTTTAGCTTACACCTATTTTTAAATTGACTTCTTAATGATCTTTGCACTTATTTGAATTGCATAAACAAGTAAATCCAGTATTAGAATAACGAGGTTTTTACCTGGTGACATCACATTTACACATCAAGTGTCCACTGTGCTTTGTTATTGTTATTTACTTTGAAATCGCAGAAGATGTTACGTATCAGTCAGGAAGAAAGAACCTGTGTAGATGAAAGAAGGTTTTTCTGGAAACTCCTCAATGAGCTGAAGGTGGCGCCGAGGAGATAAAAGAAACAAACTCTGTAATGTGGGTCTGAGAGAGAGGTGAGAGAGAGTGGCAGCGCGGAGAAAGGGTTGAAGGTAGAGGAAAACTGGTCACGGACAGACAGACGAAGAAGAGGAAGAGGAAGAGGAATGATAGACAGACGAAGAAGGAGAAGAAGAAGAAGAAGAAGAAGGAGAACAAGGAGAAGAAGAAGAAGAAGAAGAAAAGAAGAAGAAGAAGAAGAAGAAGAAGAAGAAGAAGAACAAGGAGAAGAAGAAGACTGAAGTGCTGCGCACAGTTTACACTGTGCCACTGCGCAGACGTACAGTATATGTATGTGTATATTATTGATTCAAACTGAAGTGCTGCGCTCAGTTTACACTGTGCCACTGCGCAGACGTACAGTATATGTATGTGTATATATTTGCGCAAATGTCTACAAACACAGGACAATGTCTGAATCTGTCTTTGGCTACGGCTGCCAGAGGAGTCCATCTGTGAGGGATTCACATCAACACTGACTGACAGAGTGTGTGTTTAAGAGAGAGAGAGTGAGAGAGTGTGTGTGTGTGTCTTTCTAGTATAGCAAACCTATGGGGACAAAAGGACTGTTGTTGTGGGGACACTGTCTTTGTGAGGACATTTTTTTCAGCTCATCACTGAGAGAGAGGGCATTTTGACCTTAAAGGGTTAATCTTAGATGAGGGTCAGATCACAGTTAAAGTAAGGATTAAGATTAGGTCAGTTGTTCAATTCACTGTAAAGTAAATCCATGCAGATCTGGTTGTTTTGTGAGTTCAGCTGCTGAGTCACAGTAAAAGTTAGCATCAAATTAATAACCTTTAAAACCAGCGACACACTCTGCTCCAATGTTTAAAGTCTGTCCCCACTGAGCTTCTTTGTCCTCGTGGCTCAGATTGGTCCAACTGGGTCATGTCATCATCACTGTTTCACTGCTATTCCACAGGGACACTGATTGATTCTAACATCATAATCTCAGTTTGGGATTTTTGCTCCGTCCTGTTTCTGCTGACAGAAGCCAAATCCTTTTGCCTCCACCTGTCGTGGCAAAAAAAACCCAACAAAAAAAAGAAAAGAAACAGGGGAGCAGTTCTCTGGAGACTGAAATGTTTTAAAGCAGTGAAGAACACTGGAGGGAGACCCAACAAAAAAAAGAAAAGAAACAGGGGAGCAGTTCTCTGGAGACTGAAATGTTTTAAAGCAGTGAAGATCACTGGAGGGAAGGAAATGAAGGAAGGTCAGGACGTGTATGTGTGTGTGTGGGGAAATGAAGGAAGGTCAGGACGTGTGTGTGTGTGTGTGTGGACGCTGTACCGATTTCGGGGTTCTGTCAAATTGACTCTCCACGTTGTTGTGACGACTGTGGCGCTGATCTGACTCTGACAACACGCTGCACCACCGAAGTACGGCGACTCTTCACGCTGCACTCGTTCGTGCCCAAACTGGTGATAAAGCGATTAAAGATTTACACACACATAGTTTTGTGATCCATTGATACGGAGGGGAATAAAACGCTGAATCACAGACGCTGAGATTTAAAAGTGCTGACAACCTCTGAGCAAACAGTGTTGGCCAATCTGCCTCCAGTTAATTCAATCTTTTATTGATTACTATAACTCAGGGTCCCATAAAGCCCCACAATAACACTACTGCAGTACAAGTGTGTAATATATATGTGGGTAGATAATCATATCTAGGATAAATTCCCCATTGGAAGTTCTTGGATCGATGGACAATCTGCCATGAGCTTTAGTACAGTAAAATATGTCTGTGCTGTCAGTTGTCCAGCTGTGAAAGTTTGACTAAAAAAGATGGTGAGGAATCAAGGAAACAAAACGTTCTGTTGGTGGAACGACTGCTGGTCAGATTAGAAAAGTTTTTTTTTTGAAGAACGCACCATCCAAGGTTTTGTCATTTTTCTGAGGTTGTGCAGACGCTTGTTCCTATTCATCATCCACATCAACATTTCTTTGGCCAAACCTTTACACTTTTCTTGTCCTGATATGATTTCTTTTACTATTTTGATATCCTTTTACAAAAACTCTGTCGTTTAAACCCATTCAAATAAGCGTTTGTGCTGTAGCGCCTCCGTCTGTTGGCGCGGTGCACAAACTCCGACTTTGCTTCAAGAGAGAATTTTCTGACTCCAGGAACTTTAGCTCCTGTTTGCACAGAGCAGCAACTTCAACTTCAGAAATATGAGCCTGCCTCTTTTCCTGACCTGCTCTGTTTTTGACTGACACAGTGGCGGCGAAGCAGGTCCCAAAACTCAGACGTATTGAAGGAAAAAAAAAAAAAAAAAACACAACAGAGAAGAAAAGGCAGATGTAAAAGTTACAGTTGAGAGAAAAAAAACACCTTTTAGGGGAATAGTTTTTTTTTTTGTTTCCCTTATGGACATATTTCTGGTCCATAAGGGAAGTGGGTCCAGATGGGCACCAACGAAGAGCCGAGTTTCAGAGGCATTAGGTGGAACTGAGAAGTAAATTAGAGAGTAAATTACAGACCTCCACGAAGTAAAAGTTAGTACCAGGCATCAATTTTACTTAAAAAGACATTGCTGTATCTTTTTATTTTCTCACTTTCTCCTCTGTGTGTGTGTGTGCGTGTGTGTGTGTGTGTGTGTGTGTGGTTGTAAACCACTGGGCTACACATAAATCCCTTTACTTTGGGCAGAGCACTGGCTGATCCTACAGTTACCGTCACCCACGCATCCCCAGGAAATTGAAGCTATAATTCTTAAACCTTCACTTCCTCCTCCTTCATTTTTGCTTCAGATGTTACAGTGGATGTTAGGTTGGTTTTTCTTTTTTTTTTCTACACATACTGCTATTTCTGCCATCACACAGAAGGCTCTGGGATCAGGTCTAAATCAGGGTAATAATCAGGTCCAAAAGATCCTCGGGACACAACCAGGAAGTCTTCGCTTTCGGGCGATGATTCATGAAAAATAGTGAATAAAGAGCTCTCTCATCTGAACAGGTTTGAACAGGAGTGTGTTCTGGCAGACACAGATTGATCACAAGATTATACAGATCGCAAGTCTGTTCCTATGCATCTCTCTCCGTCCTATTGTTTTGTTCATGTGTGTGTGTGTGTGTGTGTGTTGTCGGTTGCACACATCCTTGCATTAGCAGAACATCAATAGAAACATGTTTCTGCAAACCCGGGTGTCCGGCCGCCGCGCACCACTTTCATTAAAGCAATTGCAATCTGTTAAAAAAGAGATTAGATGAGAGGATGTGCTGCCCCTAAAGTCTATTAGAGGAATGAATCGCTTCCTGCGCTCAGTGGTCTCTCTATCTCTCTCTCTCTCTCTCTCTCTGTCTCTCTGTCTCATGCTGTGGATTCACTTTTTCTACAGTTGATTAAAACCTAAATTTGTCTATTTTCTTTTTCAAGTCCATCACTGAACATTTTCACTAATTAATTTTTTGCTTTTCCAAAAAAGAAAATCATCATATTTAACCCCAAATATGGAAACACGCCTACCTTTATTACTGGCCGTTCACCGTTTTCCTCCGTGAACCCAACGCTCCTGTGTTTCTTCTAAAAGGCTCCAGGTCAAATCCATCTCTGTCCGACAACATGGTTTTTTTTCCCCCATGTTCGTGAGGCTGTATTTTTGGGTCGTGCTGTATTTTTCCTCCAGGTCAGTTATCTATAAAAACACACAGTGAAAACAACATGGCTGACGTTAGAACACGAGTCTCCATGGTAGATAAATGCTGCGGTCCAGGACCGAAAACGATGCCTCATCCTCGTTACTCATTTTTAAACCAACAACAAACTCTGATGATGACGTGAATTCACTGTGAACTAAAATAGTGGTTATATGAACATTCAACCCAGGAACCTCTATGACAGTACTGCTCAAGTAGTGGGGCGGGCCCCCCTGGGGGGGCGCGGTAGGGTGCCAGGGGGTCATGCTGTAGTGTAGTTACACTGCTGTAATGCATGAATGATAACAAGCCTCCAGTCACTAGGTGGCAGTCAGTGGTTTGTACAGATAAAAATATACATGTTATTAGGTTCTCAATAGCATTTCAATTCAGGGGGTGTGGGTCGGAGGGGTCATGGGGGGGCGTGAAAACATTTCTGTCCTCAAGGGGGGGCGTGACAGAACATAATTAAGAACCACTGCTCTATGATTATAGCTTTTTGACAACCAAGCAGTCAAACACTGTGCTTTATCTACACTTTTCCACTAAATAGGAAATAAGAAAAAATCAAATTAGGAGTATAATCTCTTTAGGAAAATATTAACTGATCTTGTAAAAAAAGTGTCAAGTATTGAGTGACAAATAGAAATAATTGTTAAATTTGCTGCATGGACTGATTTACAAACGGCAGACGTCATTTTTAGTGATACACGCTGTTTTAAAGTCACACTTGACGTGCCAAATAACACACACACAATCTCACGTTTCGTACACTTTTAATTGTATCTAAATTTGACAGCTGTTGAGAGACAGTTCGCACTTTCACTCCCAGTGGTTTCGCAGCAGGAGCTGAAACACGGTTTTTGTTCAGTTTTGTGTGGATTTCTGATTTTCTTCTTCTTCTTCTTCTCTGTTCCAGCTCCTCCGATGATCCGTCTGTCCGTCGATGACGCCGTGGTGGTCGATCCTGGCCAGGACGTGGTCCTGACCTGCGAGGTGATCGCGGGTTTTCCATCTCCAAACGTGACATGGACACGTTACCCCGGGCCTCTGCCCCTCAGCGCCCAGGTCAGAGGCAGATCGCTGACTCTGAGGGCGGTGACTCCGAGCGACGCAGGGTTTTACAACTGCACGGCTGTGAACAACGTGGGAAACCCCGCACGAAAGAACGTCAATCTGGTTGTCAGGAGTAAGTCAAAAAAAAAAAAAAAAAAAAAAAAAGGGTAAAGTTGCTGTGTTGAGTTTCACAGCATCCCATTTGATTTGGGTTAAAAATGCACTGCTCTGATTCCATAAACCATAATATTTTTGGGTTTAAAAATCCGACCCAACACCTGAAAAGTAGTTTGAGCGTGAGAGCGACAACAACAGGCAGTTTGTTAACCTTGTCAAAGAGCTGCTTTAACACGGCTCAAGTGTCGTCTTCTCCTCGTTTCTGTGCCGTTAAAAACAGAAGCCCTCTCTCCCCTCTCTCCTCTCTCTCCACCCCCGGCTATTTTTATCCCCTTTAATCATCTTTATTCACTTCAATTAGTCTGAGTGGAGTGGAAGCAATTAGCGACAGGCTCTTCTGTTAGTCAACACTGTAGAGAACGTATGCTGAATGGTTTTTCCTGTTAGCTTAATGGTCCTGAACGCATCATCACACCAGCACAGGTGGCAAAACGGCAAGGGAGTGGGACAGACACACACACACACACACACACATACACACACACACATACTGACAGTAAGTACGCACACACACACAGAAGTAGGAAGTTGGACAGGGGACGCAGTCACACTCCAGTACACACACACACACACACGCACACACACACAGAGGCACAGACTCCCAGGTACAGACGACGTCTTCCACACATGTCCCAGGAACAGTCGCACGATCACAGCCACCATATGGTCACAGTTTTAAATCCATCCGTGAGTCCAAGACAAGGATACTGTTAACAAGCTCACAGGAAGTTCAAGTCCAAAACTCCCTCCGTCTGCCGTCGTCTCCCTGGTCAGAGTGGAAACTGAGAGCTGTTTGGTATTCACCGTGGAAGTGTGTTGGGGAAACGCTGCCTTTGAAACAGAAAATGAAATGTGACAGTGTGAGAGGAACTCTTTGTCCTTGATTTTGTTCGTCTCCTCCTCCTCCTCCTCCTCCTCGTGCCCCTGTTATTCTACTCCGTGTTAGGACTTCTTTGTCTTTCCCTCTTTCACAATTTACTGCTGCTTTCTTATACCATTTTTCATTTACATTTTTTGTTTTGTTTTGCGTTTTACTTCATCTAATCCCGCCGTGATAAATCAATACCTCATTTTGATTTCATCATAAATCCTTTTCGCGGAGATGGAGAGAAGAGAAGAGTAGCCTTCAATAAAAATGAATACATGAAGCAGCAGCAGCCGAGGGGATACATATTTGTTATGTATTAAAAGGTTTCCAAATAATACTGCGGAAGTTCATTTGTTACAATTCCATTTGCTAAATTTTTTCAAAGCAACACATTTTCTGTATTATTTGTCCTAACAAAAAAAAAACAACACCAGCCTCCTTTGTTTGTTTGTAACGTCGTGTTTGTGAGTTTGTTTCCGGTTTTTAACCCTTTTGGTTCTGCGTCCTCACAGCGATGAACAACCTGACCTTCCAGATCACACCGGACTCCAACAAGGACAGTGAAACCATCCAGATGGGTCGCGACCTTAAGCTGTCCTGCCACGTGGATGCCACCCCGCAGGACAAGGTCAACTACACCTGGTACAAGAACGGTGCGCTCATCTACAACTCGGACAACCTGATATTGCTGCGCAGCGACCCGGACATGGCCCCGGGAACCAGCAGTTTGGAGATCGTAGACATGAAGTTCAGAGACTTGGCCACCTACAGCTGCGTGGCAAACTTCCCCGGCAGCAGAGTTCCAGAGCTGCGTGTGGACGTGAACATCTCCCAGAACAGTGGTGAGTTTGTTTGTTTGTTTGTTTGTTTTTATATTTCAGACTCGGGAAAATTATCATAAAGCACCAAATATTAAATCTGCCAATGGGCTGAAACTATTTTGCTGAACAAGAACTCTTTAAAAAGACTCAAAGGTCTCACCACTGAGAGACTAAAATGCCTTAAGACAAGACAAAAAATACCATGTACATTTATGACATTTGCACCAGTGGATAAACTGGGTAATTCTGACTTGAAGTTTGCTGGAACATCTTATCAAAAAGAAGTTGAAGTTATTTTTCTGACTATGAGAATTGTTGTTTTTATATGAAGAAATACACTCTCTACCATGATAGATAAAAAATAATAAAACCATCTACTGCCAGACATTTTAGTGGTTATCACAACGGACTTAGAACTCTGCCTTACACGAAGAAGGTCCTGGGTTCGAGACCCAAAGAAACACAATCTTAAAGGGCGCCTCCTGTGGCAGCCTGTGTGTTTTCACTCTGTGGATTGGATGAATAATGGACTTCAACTTGAAATATTTCCATTTTCCCCTTTTTCCATTCCCGTCCACACAACAGTACAGAAACCAAACACAAACCTTTTTTTTTTTTAGTGCTACTAATATCAAAAATCCATGAAACTGTTTTTCAGTGACTTTTGGATTTATTTGAATTTTTTTGTGTCATTGTGCTGCATTATTCTGCACAGTCCAAATCTGAGTCACTAATATTATAATTATATTTTTATGCCAAAAAAAAGCTCACATTTTATTCAATCCTTTCCTGCCTGTTAGAGACAAATGCAGCCAAAACTTTTTGTAGCTGATAGAAGTGTGGCTCAGTGTCAGTCAGTGTCCAGTGTCAAATCAGAAAACTTTATCTGGTACTATTTCATTTTATGTTTTTTTTTAAACTCCTGTCCATAAATGTGAGAAACGATCGGTCGTTGGAACTTTGTTCTGTTCCTACAGGGAATGTGAGAATTCCAAAGACAGTAGGAGTATTCCTGTGTGTGGTTAACCATAACATTATTACCCAAACCTGAGGACTCATATTTCCTAATGTCCCCGTGTTGCGTTGAAACTGTTTGATAGTCCAATAAAATTAGGCTTGTAAATGTCATTTTCTTTCATTACGTTCATTTTATTCTCCATCTGTCTCTGTTATTCACTTTCTCCGTTCACACCATCTGTCAGTTTGAACTGGAGGCCACCTCCTCATTTGTTAGATAAGATAAAAACCAACTCCTTCCTCCTGTGCTCTTCTTGCGCTGCTTTTCCTCCCACTATGTAAAACAATAATTCCTCTTCCTAATAAACCTTTCCTCTTTAGTGTATAAACTCTACTTATGGAAGGTATTATATTGTTTCATTTCACAGAATTTAATAACGTCTAAAAAAAACCCAAAGAAACAAACAAACGCTCCTCCCTGTAGGAGCAGACGACTTCACCATATTCTCACTATTTTAAACTTTCTTTCTCGACCTTTTCTTCCAAGTGTCCCCTCCAGTGCTGACAGTTCCACCTGGAAGTCAGGTGGTCAGTGTGCGAGAGGGGGGTGTCGCTGAGCTGCTGTGCATGATAGTGGACGGCAAACCTCGCCCACCTGTGCTGTGGTCACGGACAGAGAAGGACCTGCTCATGCCGTCGGGTCAGCCGGTGGTGGAGACGCCTGACGGTCGCCTGAGACTAAGGAACGTCACCCGGGACATGATGGGGGCGTACCGCTGCCAGACCGCTCCGTACAACGGGCTGAACATCAAACGCAGAGAGGCACAGGTCCAGCTCAATGTTCAGTGTGAGTGTGAGACGGATTATTTTTACTTGGGAACACAACAATAACCACGGACTCAGAGCAAAGAACACTCTGATATTTTTGACCATGTGCTGTTTACATTTCATCAGAGTTTGTTTGTTCAATTTCTTATGGAACTGAGAACTATTTGTGTTCCCACTACATGAACGAGGACTATTTAAATGAACAGGACTATTTTAGCTGTAAAATAGTTTAAGGTTAATAGATCGGAGGGGCTGAAAGACTTGAAATTCTTAATAAAATGCTATTTCTAAATGAACCACTAGGGGCGTACTGTGTTAGAAAATTATATCTTTAGCGTTTTACAGAGAAAATACCTTCTTATTTTAAACAGTATTACAGTTTAAATTAAACCTTCATCAGATTCACTCAGATGTATATCAGATGGACAGAACCATAAGGAACTTATTAGTGTCAGAGCCGGTGAATTGTGCTAATTACAACAATCAACAAAATATTACTGCCCAGAAAATCCCTTCTTAAAACGTGTAGCGATGTTCTAGAAAAATCTGCTGCAAGTAAAAAAAAAACCAGAAAAATCCCCGACCAAAGAAACATTAGCAGTAATTGAACGTTTTTGACGAGGTTTACTGCAGTTATTAAAAACACAGGAACACAGACCTTCACTCTGGGGAATCCAAACTAAAAGTTGCTCAATAAGTTTATGCTTGTGATTAAAAGAAGAGACTAAGTCAACATTTGTCCTCAGGTCTGTGGCCTTTCAGCCTCCGCCGCCGCCGCCGTGCTGAGGTTGATAAACACAGACCCAAATTAGCAGCCTCTGTCTGTACGTACGTGTGAGGCTAACGCACCGCGGCCGTTGGAGAGTGTGCGGAGTTTCCCTAATGAGTGCAGCAGGTCCGTGAGTGACACTTTCATTACGGACACGCTGCGTGTTTCTCACTGAAAGTCTAGAGTATCGGCCAAGAAATGAATCATCTGTGTATCCAGGCTGTAAAATGACTCCATTAACAAGCTGTGTAGCCTAAACTGCTCAGCTCCCCTTAACCCTCCTCCTCTGTCAATCACATCACACCTGAGGTCTGATTAGCGTCTGACATAATGAGACCCAGCTGTTTACAGACAAAAAGATTGACTTAGTTCCTTTCACATGGTGGCGCTGTACTCATGTGTCCTCAGTAAAAACTCACTGAAAGAGAAATGATTTTTGGAGTTTGGAAATTCTCCTGGACGCTTTGGTCTTTTGAGCTGCACCGTGGCCCCTTAGTTTGGAAATTCTTCTGGACAGTTTGGTCTTTTGAGCTGCACCGTGGCCCGGTGTCCGTGGAGACGAGCGTGAGTGTATTTTAATCGTATTTAAACAATATAAAAATACAGACTGAGCTGTCAGTGAAAAACAGGACAGGCTCAGGGCAGAGAGTCAAACAGCCAGGGCTGAGGTTGAAGTGTCTGTCGACAGAGTCGTGACGACAGTGAAGAAAGAAAACACGTATTTAAGGATTTTTCTGAAATAACAATTCAGTTTGTGTCTTGATGAACATCTTTGTTAATTTACTGAGAAATATCTTCCAACGACGTGAGAGAGTGCAATAAAACCCAAGCACAAGTCAGGAGTAAATCATTTCAGCAAAAGTCTAAATAAATACAAACAGAAAGGAGTTTAAAGAAAATCCTTTTTTTTAATCATTCTGTTGTGACTGTTGGTAGTTGGACAATAGCTCAGCAACAGGTTTTTATTATTCCCTGTGTGTTCTCGATCACGGAGCTTTCACTGAACTCTAATCCTTCAGACTATAAATGGATTAAACAGTCAAAGTTTAATCTGATCACACACAAAAATAATATTTAATAGGTTTGTTTCCATTTTTGAATTTAAAATAATATATTTTATCATATGGTAAATTTATGTCGCTTTTTTGCATTTTTTAGGAACAAATTACACAAGTTATTTTATTATTATTTTATTCTATTTATAAAAATGTTTGTATTCCTCAGTGAGTTGTGCTAGGACATATGGTGCACGTCTTGTTTGTGCTCGTGGTTACTGATAAAATTGACGATGAAAGAACAGAAAAAAAAAATCGTCTTTTTCACAGGAGGATTTACGGTGCTTTCTATAGCAGCTCCGGTGCAAAGGCTAACACACTGTGAGCTCTGCTGTCCATGGTTGCCAATTCTGATTAATGGTGTAGGAGGTAACCCCTCTCAGTACAGAACAAAAAAAAAAACACAGAGAGATGACACAGATGCATGAGCTAAACTGAAAGGAAGAAGGTAAAAAGAAACCTTGAAAAAAAAGGAGGTTCAAGAAGGTGGTAAGATGTTAAAGTAAAAACCAGCAGAACTGCAAAATATTCAAAGTTTCTCCTTTGACTGAAATCCTTTTTATTAGCAACAAGAATGTAGGAAGTGATGAACTGATGAAACTCGCTCCCTTTCCTAAAGCTAGTGCACCTTTATTAGGAATTTTACGGCTCAGATTAAAACCGTCTGTATTATAAACACGCTGGTCCTCAGCAGCGACGGTCGAACATACGTAGGTCACACCGTGGTATTTCCTCACGGTTGGTTGTTAAACTCAGACTCTAATCTGTGTTTTTGACTTCTGTATAATACGGTGGTTTATTTGGACCTGGTTTGTTTTTCCTTCTCCTGTTTAACAACATCTTCTGCTCATTTAGTTTTTTTCTGCCACATAATTGAGTGGATGCACAGATTTTTGCCACTTTGGACTCGTCTGCATCCTCCTGTTTTTCTTGTTCCCCTTCTTTACCCTCAGAGACGTGGCGGTTCCTCCCCATTGCCGTTCTCATCATCATCAATCAGCAAACTGCTGGCCGTGAGAGCGGACCTTTCTCCATCTTCTCCCTCCCTTTCTGCATCCTGTTTTTTTTTTTTGTATCCTGCTGTCCACACCTTCCCTCCTCAATCATTGACTTCTCTCACTTTAACACACTCTGCCATTCGTCTTCCTCCGTTCCTGCATCTTTAGGAGAGGCTGTTCCCTCACCCTCCCTCCCCTACACTCCCATCTCTCCCTTCTGTCTCATGTAAATTGATTTTGACTTTGTGTACTTTAAATGTTTGTCTTGGTCAGTGCTGAAGTCAGTGCTGAAGTCAGTGCTGAAGAGAATCCATTTTACATCCAATAAGACGGACAGGAACGTTTTGTTTACGTGGAGTTCAGCGCCACGACGGCAGAAAAAAAAACGACATTCCACGGCTGGGAAAGTCCGCAGTTGTTTGAACAAACGGTCACGTGACGGGTGTTGGTTATTTTCTCAGTCAAATTCTGGTGGAAATGAAACCATTTATGAACAAAGCGTTTCCACTGCATCTGTGTGTGTTTCTCCACATTTATTTTTTTTTCTTTTTACCCTTGCTGCTCGTTTCCAAAGTCAGTCGGCCATCAGTATGCACACGTGTCCATAAGGGTTAGGCAGGGTGTGTGACCATACACTAATCAGACTGTGGGATTATTGTGTGACCTTTGACTGATCAACGATCACTCACCTGCACCAGGAGGCAAAGAAGACGCTGCAGTCAGATTCAAGCTAGAAACAAAGACTGAACCAGTGGTAGTCAAACATGTTCTGAACTGGAGCAGAAAAAATTTAAAAAAAAAGTTACTATATACATATATTTATATTTATGATATCTACACATTTATCTAAATATGCACTTGTGTATATACTATATATCAATATAAATAAACACAGTATATATTTACATAAAGAACATTCCAGTTCCATCTTTATCACTGGTTCAAAGTGGATTTAAATTCCACAGTAATTCATCACTGACTCAAACCACATCAAGTCTCATCTTCAGGGGCTTCAACATCAAATTTCATCACAACAATTCTCCTCTCAACATCTTGTGTCCAATCTGTATGATTAGCCGGGATGATCCCGCTGCTTATTGCTCTGCGGCAGAGTCATTTTGCAGCGCGGTGTCACAGTGGATCCCAAGATAACCTGGGCTAGTCAATGATTAAAATCGGTGGCCTTACATCACTGCTGACAGGTTAATTAGAACTGGTTAATGTGGGTAGTTGTAGCTGCAGGCGTGGGTTAATGCCGTGGTTGGAGACCCTAACTGGAGTTACACCTCCGTGTTCCAACAGATTCACCAATACTGGACCCCGTTTTCCAGGACGTGCGTTCTAGAAACTCCCAGATGGTGACGCTGAGGTGCACGATCCTGAGGGCCAACCCACCGCGTCTGACCGACATCCGCTGGTATCGCAACGGCGAGATCATTCGCATGCCCATGCCCGACCTGAAGGAGACGCCGGAGCTGAAGTTCAAGCTGGAGCCCCTCAACAACGGCTCTTACGAGTGCAGAGTCAGCAATTACGCTGGAACGTCATCGTGTACATTTAATGTTTCTGGTAAGAAGTCTTTCGTTGGACATTAGTGGGCAATTTTGGTGGTTGAACAGATAAAACTTAATGATTAAAATCTATGCTCAGTTGGATTTTTTTTGTACTTCTATAAACCTCTAACGACAGTCCTCCAAACTTTGCAAACTTATATTTAATTTGGTTGTACAGTGGTAAAAACGACTCTTCTGCTGTTGGAGGCTGTAGATCCTGTTACAGCCTGACGACGGCAGCTTTAACCTGTGTATCCAGATAATAATACTCCACGTTAACTGTCGTTCTTGTTTCAAATGCTGATACGGCTTCTCCCGCCTCCTTTCACAGCCAAACCCTACAACGCAGAATTCTACTTCGACACACCGAACCCAGTCCGGATCCTGAAAGGAAACAACTATTCCTACAACCTGCAGTGGACACAGAAAGACCCCGAGGCCACAGACCGCATCATAGGCTACTGGATAAACGTCCGCAAGGTAATGGAGTTTGACACTAACATCCGTCCACAGCACCGTCCGACGCTCACGGCTCACGGAAACACACTTGCATTTGTTTTCTCATTATCCTCTGTTAAATTAAGCCTAATAAGATAATTGTGCGCGGCTCAGTCCAATAGCTGGGAGCGATGGACGGAGACAGTTGTTGTGACGCGTTCCTTTCACAGTTGCTCATTACAAACAATGGCAAATAAACTGGAACATCAGACTGGGAGGAAGTGAGTAAATATAGGCCACTCTGGGGAAAAGGGAATCACCGAGTTAATCGTTGATTCACTTTATTACATTGTTTGCCTTTTTTAGAGTCACATCATTAGACGTCAACATATTAATATTAAAGTACGCTCTGTTTTTTTGTTTTGTTCAAGGACAAATTCATTTTTGTTTTGTCTTTTTTGACAACGAGCCAAGAGCTTGTTTTTCTAAGAATTGTTTTTTTTTGCTTCTTGATGATTCCTGGTTTTACTTGAGAATTCACACACTATTTTACACAAGGGAACACTGGGAATAAACCACTCCTCCCCCACCCTCCTCCCCACTCCTCACCTCTCTACAGGGTTCATTCCCATATGTCAGAGACATTGTTTTATTCTTTTCTGAAACTAATTAAAAAACATTAAAAAAAAAGATCCAGACCTTGTTCACCAGACAGACATTTGTTTTTCTTTTATATCATGGTGCTTCATCCGACTGGTTTCCTGCCAACGCGGCTCCTTTCAGAGTGTCAGCGGGAAGTCAGTTTGACCAGAGAAAAACTTCATTTGTTAGTGTTTAATGTTTGAGCAGCTTCTGTGGTGAGTTTTCATTCACCTCCCTGTGGTTCGGATTCATTTAGTCTGGCGTTCACACACGTCATGAGTTTATTATCTGTTTTTTTTAAACTTCAACTCATTTGTCTTCAACTAAAGCCGTCATCGAAGCATGTTCCAAAGACACACTAAAAGATTTAGTTTTGCACGGATGGTTTGCTTCATACATGCAGGAAACAGTTACATTAGTATGAATACTCCACACCACAGGAGTGTCCATAATTAGAAGGTTTTGTTGTTGAAACTTGAAATGTTTCAATCCTTGATTTTAGTCTTTAAAACCACAGACGTCAGTGATAAAAACCAACTTTAATGGAGCTCTCTTCTTCTTCTTCTTCTTCTTCTTCTTCTTCTTTTTCTTCTTCTTCTTCTTCTTCTTCTTCTTCTGTTTTGTTTTTAATAACCTCTCACAGATGACTGGCTTTTAAATCAGGGGACCAGTAAGAGAGCAGTGAATTATATACAGCTGGCTGAGGATTGTGTGTGCGTGTGCATGTGTGTGTGAGACAGAGAGAGAGAGAGAGAGCGAGGGCTGATAATAACCAGTGTGCCAGCTTGCTTTTGTGTAGATGAATAGCTAATTCTCTCTCTACTTTAAAGACTTGGCTGCTTACCTTATTAAGGAAGACTCTTTAGGGAAATACAAAATGAGCGCCGTCCTTCCTCAGATGCACGTTAGATTGCGTGCCTAAGCCCCTCGACTACTCTCCTTCCACTTCCTCTTTCTTTCATTAGACTGGTTTCCTCAGTCGCTACATTTGGATCCTGTTTTTTTTTTTTTTGTACCAGTTCTTTTTTTTCCTCCATCTCTCCGTCCACACTTGCTCCTCTCTCTCTCCCTCTCTCTCTCTCTGTCTGTATTTAACTGTCTCCCTCACTCGTCCCCCATTTTTCTCTGCTACTTGGCCTTAAGTGCAGACCTAATGATATTTAACGTAGGGTGAACGGTGGCAAACTGGAGTTTCACACATAAATATTTGCTGCAGGTTGTTATGCTGACCATGTTGGAAATCATTCTCACATTAAGTGGCTGTTTAGAATTCTTAACTGCTGTTAAACCTTAATCTAATTTGAAGACGACTACCTGCGTGTCCTCGGGAAAGGAGATGAGAAAGAAGAAAAAGAAAAAAGTAAGAAAGGAAGTGAATGAAACGGGGCCAAAGCCTCAAACGAGCTTCAAATTAAAGAAAAACAGCCAATCCCACGGGTGCTCTCCACTGTTAAACGGCGTCTACCAGAACATTCAAATGTAATTCCATCTCAATTTCACAAGCCATCTATTTCTGCAACACTTTCTCCAGCTCACCCTCTTAACACCTTGACACTCCATCTTTTTAGCACCTGCAAAATGATGTGGAGTTCTCCAGGGAGACATGCCGGCTCAGAGACGGAGGCCGGATGTTGGAGATCAGTTCCTCAAACCACGCTTTTTGCCACATTCTTCTTCTTCTTTGCTCACATTAACCATTTTTTTTTGTATTTAACTGTCAGTGATTGGCGTGCCCTTGCGGCTGCGTCTGTTTCTACAGTACGTGTTCGACTCAGTCGGGCCGTGAAACCATTGTTTACACTTTTTAATTAGCTATAGCTGAAACTCCCCACGGGGGAATTCTCTGTGAAGGAATCATCAGCTTCTCGACGCATCTTCAAGTTGTCATGAACCCTCTTTAAATTCACTTCACAGAAGCTCAGTGACGTTTAATTAAGATTAAAGCAACGAACAAGGAAATTGTAATTATTTACACCACTAAATATTTGCACTAATTACTTGTCTTTCCTGTCACACATAAAATTTGCATATATATGTATATATACAGTGTATATATATATATATATATGTATATATGTATATTTAAGGTAAAGTAGAAAAATCTCCAATCATAAACCAAACTTTTCTAAATGAGCGCCTGGACGCAGCGTCCGTGGAAATGTACATGTGCACTGACCCAGTGTGAAGCACGGCGAGAACTCATGCATTACTGCATGCATTTATTCAAGCTGTTAATTTTCCCACGCCATCCGTCCGTCCATCCATCCATCCATCCATCCGTCCATCCGTCCGCCCTCCCACACACTTAAAAGGCCGAAGTCTGTGGGATTTGTTGCTTTTATCTCCCGCACCTGCGTTTAAATCCCAACTCTTCACTGTTATTATAGTTGATCTTTTAACACCATCACGTACTTCATGTATACGACCTCAGCTCAGCTCTGCTTGACGGCCATTTTGACACGATGGTGGTCACCACGTGACCGGTGTGTAAACGTTTGTAAAACAGAGACGTTTCACCTTTGAGCTGATTAAACATGAAGCAACACCAGGCTGACGCATCTGCTCAGTTACAGTGGTGTCCACACACACACACACACGTAGATAACTATTATATTTTCTGAACGAATCATCGTGTTTGTAATTACAAGCGTCTGAAAAGATCAGAGAGGCAGAAATGTAATTTAAAATCATTTTGAGCAGGAAAAACCAATCCATCCTGAAGTTTTTTTTAGACAGTTCAGTTCTTTGTTTGAGGTTTGGAAAAATGTCAGTTTGTCAAGCTGCATCTTTTAAATAATCACTAGGGCTGTTCATGGATTCAGATGTTTGAATCACTGGGAGCTGTGGACTCATCATGGAACATCATGATTAATCATGATGTTAATTAATCATCATTAATCATGATTATTTTTAAGTACATTTATATTCATTAAAAACAGAAAAGACAAATAACAACAGGTAGATGTATGACTTTCACACATGTTGTCCCTGATGTTTTTTTAAAAATTACTTCTTGTTTTCAAAACCAGCATTATGCCCTAATGTTTTTTAAAAAATTACTTCTTGTTTTCTAATGTTTGTTTTTTTTTAAAAAATTACTTCTTGTTTTCAAAACCAGCCAACAGCCGTTATTGGATCTTTGCGTTGCGCTCACTGCTTCTCTACAACCCTGGAGTAAAGTATGCAGACGTCCTTTATATCCCTCCAATATTCTGTGGTCACAGCGGCATCATAAAAATGGGAAGGTAAAATAAAGGAGAGGGCGTGGAGTGGGACGAAAAGAGTGGTTTATTTTTAGGAGCAGATTATCTAGTCTGCACTGAAAGATACCTGCTGTTGTACAAGGATGTGGAAGGATGCTCAATGACTGGCAGGAGAGTGCGAAAAGTTGGTTCAACACAAAGGAAAACAGCCAGACTTTCACTAAGAATGGAGAAGGAACAGCTACTGGTGGCATCCTGCCTGCTGAGGAAGGACGGATTCCATCCTGGCTGTGAGCTGCCGAGCAGAAACGTGCAGGGATTGGGCTGGAGCTGCCATGTGATACTGGCACCAAGGAGAGTCGAGCCAATTCTTTTGGCAGCTAAGGCAGGAGTCACCGTGGTCTTGTCAGTGGGAATATCATCCCCCTCTAGTTGTGTTTGAATTTGTGGTAGTTAGTAGACACGGGGTGAAAATAGTCAGAGCAGGACAGGAGGAAGAGCTAATTCTGTGCCGGTGTCACAGTCTGTACGGTCTATGAAGGGAGTCAGCTGACGCCTGAGTGCCACACCAAACTGTTCTGGAGCGAGCACACGGCACCGAGGACAAGGAGGAGAAGAAGAAGAGTTTTTATTGTGACATTTCTCTTGTCCTTTATTGTCCAACACGACCGCGTTGTTGTAGGGGACGTTTGTACTCAGCTTACAACCAAAGTACCGTGGTACGATACTTTGCAGATACAAAAATGGAAGTACATGCAAAAATGTTGTGGTGGACGAGTAGACAGTAGGTGGAGCTCTCTCTGTCCCTGGGTTTTTTTCTTCACTACTGTTTTCTGAACATTTGAAGAAAAAAAAAGTCAAAACTACAGATGCATCGACACTGACCTGGTCTAGATTTAGACATTTTCTAACAGTGTCAGTTTGAAGACTTTTTTGTATCATACGAAAAGATTTGTTTCGAGAAGAAAATAAAACTGGCCGTTAGCAGATCTGTTTGTTTTTCTTCTAGTTTTCTCACTGGGAAATGTTTTTGTTTTTGTTTTTTCCCGGTAAGATCCAGTGTAATGTGCATCAGCACCAACTTCAGTTCAATACCCGTCCCTTCATAGTAACATCCACAGAAACCCGTGTCTGTTCTGTTTCACCGACACATCCACTGTACGCATTAACACAGTAAGTGCATCAGGCCCCAAATCCATGCACAGCACACACACTCTGAGCCTCTGCCTCATGCATAAAGTGATAATGCATGCTGTGGGTGTAGTGAAGTGTCACGGTGGAGTGGCGGACCTAATGCATTAGATTGAGCTCGGTGTCAGGTCTTTAAGTAGCCGTGTTCAGAGGCAGGGACACAGCTAATGGATTTGTCTCTTTGTGGGTGGAATAACACAGGAATAACTCTGTTAGAAAAGCTGCTGAAAGAATATTAAGATGGAATCTGGAGCAACATCAAACCATTTCTAATAACCTATACGTCGTGATAATGCTTTGCCTACGTGTGTCACGTTAATGAGTCGTTACAATCAAATTAACTTGTTACAGTGAATTAAAATACAAGTTAATATAGAATGATAAAAGTTTCATTACATTTTTAGATTTAATGTTTTTACAATTGAAAAACATGACATTGAACTTACGTGATTATTAATTATTCATTCATATCATATCATGACAGATGGAAGCCAATCAGAGAGGACTTTCTGTTGGACGTGTGATCGGTCACTAATATAAGACAAAGCAAAAAGATTTTTTAAAAATAAATAAATAAATCACTTGCTACACAGGCTAATGTGATTTTTTTTTTTTTTGTAATTTTTCCATCTAGAATAAACTGAACCAACTGGTCAAGCAGATTGACCTCAGGGGGAAGGAGCCAGAGAAGGGCGTCCTGATGACCTACACCATCCCTGACCTGCAAATCCCCGTGTCCTACGAAGTCCGACTGTCCCCCATCACCACCTTCAGCACCGGCGACTACGTCACTCGAATCATTCAGTACTCTGAACGTGAGAGTTTCTACACAGTATCTTTGAGTCACAGTCCTGTGTTTGCATGACCCACGCTGATCAATCTTGTTTTTGTTTCTTTTATGTTTTATTTATGTCCTACAGCCTACACTTACCCACGGCCTACAGGTGAGACATTACTTCCTCTGCTTCACCTCATTCCTCAGCCTTTAGGTTGTTGTTGTTGCTGCTGCTGTTGTTGTTGTTGTTGTCGGCTGATTGATGTCAGGGCGGGGAATTTAGGAAGGCACATTAAAGTTTGATGAAAGCCAATTTAGCTTTTATGCTTCAAGCAGTGTTGGTACAAAGTTGTCAGGGAGAAGTTTGGCCTCCAATGGACCGGAGAAGAAGAAGAAGAAGAAGAAGGAGAAGGAGAAGAAGAAGAAGAAGAAAAAGAAGAAGAAGAAGAGGAAGAGGAAGATGAAGAAGAAGAAGGAAGAAGAAGAGGAAGAAGCGGAAGAAGAGGAAGAGGAGGAGGAAGAAGAAGAAGAAGAGGAAAAAGAAGAAGAAGAAGAGGAGGAGGAAGAAGAAGAAGAAGAGGAGGAGGAAGAAGAAGAAGAGGAAGGAGCGGAAGAAGAGGAAGAGGAGGAGGAAGAAGAAGAAGAAGAAGGAGAAGGAGAAGAAGAAGAAGAAGAAGGAGAAGGAGAAGAAGAAGAGGAGGAAGAAGAAGAAGAGTATTCTGAGTAGGCACCAACACCTTGGTCACTATGACACCTTTGTCGTCTTTCTCACTCTCTGGTTCTACTAACTCTCTGCTCTCTGATTTTTTTTTCTTTCGCCTCTTTCACATTCTTTTGCCGTCTTTCATTCAGTTTCAGTCAATTGCATCCTGTCTATTTTCTTCATTAAGAGACACAGCAGCATTTTCTGGCAGGAGTGGCATCTGGCCCTGCCAGGGTTAGGCAATTAAAACAACAGCAGATTGAAACAGGCTGCGAGAACAACAGTGCAAATTGAATGCAGTGCAGTGCAGAGCGGAGCAGGGTGTGTGTGGCAATAGATTAGCTTCCTGATACAGAAATGAACACGAGCTGTCCTGGTGAGGTGTGTGTGGGTGAGGGAGGGAGAGAGAGAGAGAGGGAGAGAGAGAGGCTTTCACTGTATATGGAACTCATGTTTGTAGATGTGTTGTTGTTGTACTGGCTCGGATCAATTTTCATTAATAGCGGAATTCTGTGGATGTTTTCATGGAGGTGACGGTGTCACAGACATGGAACCTTTTCTGTCGTATGGAAACACGCCTGTTGTTTTGTGAAACACAATTTTATATCCCGACTTATCAGAACTTCAAATAGTGAAGCGGAGGGTTCAGAGGTTAGCTGCTTCTCACCATCTTTACTCTCTCTCTCTCTCTCTCTCTCGATGCTTTTCCATCAGATCACGTTTGTGGATTCGAGGACGACCGGATCTGCGGCTTTTCTCAAGACCGCAGTGACAACTTTGACTGGACCAGACAGAATCACCTGACTCAGAACCCCAAACGATCGGCCAACACTGGGCCCGACACCGACCGCAGTGGAACCAAAGAAGGTGAGGAGAGTTCAGGTTGAGGAAAACATCAGCCCAGTCTGTTGACTCAGGACAACGACGTAAATATGATGATGACATGTTTGGTCGGTCGCAGGTTTCTACATGTACATCGAAGCCTCACAACCACGGGTTCAAGGAGAGAAGGCCCGTCTGATGTCTCCACTTTTTAACGAGACCCTGTACAGGGGTCCAAAGGGTTCTGGGAGGATGCCGTACTGCGTCTCCTTCTACTACCACATGAAGGGCAAACACATCGGTGAGTAGAAGACGACAGTGATTACACACACGCGCCCCCTACAGAGTGGACTGTGTGGCGTACGACCAACGGTCAACCCCCAAGAAATACTGTATATCCCACTGTGCATTGCAGTCGTGACAACATAGCGAATATGGACGGAGGAAAATGGACGGAAAAGAAGTGGGAGACAAGGGTTTAGAAATCTGAGAGTGAAAAAAAATTTTTGTAGGGTCTCACTCTATCTGTGTGTGTGTGTGTGTGTGTGTGTGTGTGTGTGGAAGTGTAATTTATGGCACTAGCAAGACACAATCAGTCATTTGGGTGAAGCTGTTCATCATAATGTGCTCAGTCACGCAGCCAGACTGAAGACGTCCTGTAGACCACACACCTGCCTACTGACACACACACACACACACACACACACCTGTGGTATGTACAGTCAGGATCCATTTGAGCCCCATTTGGATTGGGATATGTTTGGAGAGAGAACATTATGGTCCATCCTCTCTCTCTCTCTACGTCTACACACTTCCTTAATACTAGGTCAAACAACACCCTCCTACT